GAGACAGACACAGAGACAGACACAGAGAGACAGGAAAAGAAGGAACATAGAGTGAGAGCGAGAGGGAGAACGACGAGTGAGAACGAGAGAGCCACAGAGAGAGAGCCACAGAGAAAGAGAGAAAGAGAGAGAGAGAGAGAGGACGAGAGAGAGAGAGGAGAGACGAGAGAGAAGAGAGAGAGAGAGAGAGAGAGAGGAGAGAGAGAGAGAGAGAGAGAGAGAGAGAGAGAGAGAGAAAGAGAGCGAGTGAGTGAAGAAAGGATGGGGAGAAATTGGGAGATGAAGAATACGAGGAGGGAAACGTTTCTTACCGACGCATATTCACCCCATATTTTCGATGCGTATACGGCGTATAAGTTACATGGTCCCGTTTACATAGAAATGATGCATATGCAAGGAAACCAGAGATATGAATGATAATGATGTGCCGTGAAGAAATAAAAATGTGATTGTATTTTTTAGAACCCTGAGGCTGGCGACGGGGGCCAGTACAAGTGCACGTTGAAGAACAAGTATGGTGAAAGCAATGCAAATTTAGCCCTCAACTTTGCAGGTGAGATATCGTCGATTTATCGAAGATATACATTTCTGAGGCTAAGATAAATAATTAAGCTAAAAATTACGACATGCATTAATTATAACTGTTCGCTGCAATATCCTCTGCTATTTCTACACGTTGCTGTTATTTTGATGTCGAGTAACACAGTTTTGACACACGGATGACTGAATTTATGAATCGACTTCACTCGAATTGGTTAGCTTATTTCAGATTTTCAGCTAACTAAGAGCGAATATACCTAACTAGTGTAAGAATAGTATTTGTATTTACTTTATTCAAGGTAACGAAGAAAACTATTAAGGCAAACTATGAGCTTATGATATATTAAATAATATAAATGGTTGCAACATGCAATCAACTGTATCCATCAGAGAAGCAGTGTAGAATTCTACCCATCTATTCAATTTTATGTATTCATCCATCCACCCATCCATCCATGTACCCATTCGTCCATGTATTCATCTATCCAACCATCCATCCATCCATCTATCCATTCATACATCTATCCATCCATCCATCCATCCATCCATCCATCCATCCGTTCGTCCGTCCGTCGTCCGTCCGTCCGTCCGTCCGTCCGTCGTCCGTCCGTCTGTCCGTCCGTCCACCCGTCCGTCCATCCATCCACCCATCTATCCAACCAAGCATCTATTTATCCATATACATGGGATATACCGTAATATAGTCAAATAAACGTTATACCTCAGTGAACGCAATCAATCATAACGTAATTGAGTATCGTAACATTGTAATCCTCAGGCGAAACAAAGAAAGGACAGGCACCGACATTTGTACAGAAGCCCAAAATCATTCCTAAAGATGGTGGCAAGCTGATCATCATGGAAGTGGCATTGAAGGCGGATCCGGCGCCGGGTGTAATCTGGTTCCACAACGGTACTCTTGTACAGCTCGGAAACAGACTAAGCACGATCACGCGCCAGGATGGTGACGTGTACACAGTGCACCTAGAGATCAAGGTTTGCTATTACCACAGACGAGGACGTGACATTCAAAAATATCGCAATAAAAACAAAGTGATAAAAAACTGACATCATTTTCAGTAAGTGTGCGTGCGTGTAAATTCGTAGTCGTGTGCGGTAAAGGCACGGCGCTGCCTAGCATAACTTTGAAGCCAGGCCGCGGCGGTGCTGCCCTCTATACTTAACACTATTACGATGTTTTTTGTTGACAGGATCCGACTGCGGACGACAGCGGAACTTACAAGTGCAACGTTAAGAATGAGGTTGGCGAGAACAACGCTAACCTCACCCTGAACATCGCTGGTACGTGGGCCATAGAAACCACAGCCCGCCTGCCATCCTCATCTCTGTGGTCCTCATTTTAAAACCACCTTCATTTTTTAACAAATCGACTTCAAGGTTTGGGGAAGGACAAAACACCACTATTTACATCAAGGATATTAGGCACTAAACATGATATTATTCAATATAATATTATATATACATATATTATTCCGTTCATAACTGGCACATGGAAATGCATCAATTATTCTGTGCAACTATCTAAACACTAGCTGGCATAAACTAGTTTTATTTTCTATTTCTGTGTCTCACACCTAGATCTTAATATTTTTTTTATTCATTAGCTATTAATGCAAGGAACGCTGCCACAGATAGTTCACGTTACGTCACGTTTCCTTCCTGCCATCAGCCGAAGATAAGCCTGAGAGCCTCAGGGCACCAACTAAACGTTTAGTGATGTATTATACATCTGTAAAATATCGTAAGGGGCGGCGATAGACATAATAAGTGAAAAGTGGACTCTGGCTATCCACACATATCGGGTGATGCTGGAAAATCTGCGTTAAAAAATAGCGAGGGTGTCACTATGATATATCCAGCCTCGATTGTGTCAGTCCGTACGTGGACTCGTGTAGACGTGGTCTCTTCGTACGTGTTAGAAAAGCGCTGCGAAAATAAGCTCTTAGAAGCGATAAGGAAACCTCGTTCGTTCCTCTCATCAGGTGAAAAGAAGCCGGAAGGAACCAGGCCGACCTTCACCTCTAAGCCGAAGATCAGTCAGGACGACACCGGTCGCAACGTCACCGTCGATTGCGTTCTCAAGGCCAAGCCGCCGCCGACGATCACGTGGTACAAGGACAACGCCGTATTGGTCGAGAACAGGCGCGTACGCAGTCACATTACGCAGGACGGAGAGAACTACACTCTGCGGCTGACAATCAGCGTAAGCGTCATGGCGTCGTCTGCATGTGTATACTCATTGATCTTATTTAGCGAAGGGGCTTATTTATCAGACGGGGTATAAAAACAACAGACTATGTACTGATGCGAAATGAAGCTAGGGATGCCTATAAAATAATTACTTGTATATATATATATCAGGGGTTAATAATGACAAATATGCAATAAGACAATATAGACAAATATTAACAAATATGCAATAAGACAATATAGACAAATAATGACAATAATGTCATTATTAACCCCTGATATATATATATATATATATATATATATATATATATATATATATATGACATGCGTAATATGCTGAATATTATACAGCGTAACTACAGTTACTCGCATGTCTGATGTGATCTTCTATTTATGATCTTAATCGCATATATCGTATCTTAAAAGTTCCATACTCGTCTCCTGGATGATAACGCGAACGTTGGCATGTTCTATTACGCAGAATGTCATTGCCAGCGACACCGGCAAGTACAAGGCGAATGCGAAGAACGAGCTTGGCGAGACAAATGCGAACATCAATCTCAACTTTGAAGGGTATACAGTCACACTGCACATGTATCGCACTGATAACAGCGCTGCCTGATTATTGCTTGCTTTGTTTTAAGATTTCGCCTGGAAAAACATTTATCATGAAATTATTGTATTCTATCGTAGAATAATAGGCTAATATGTGGGAATATAAACGATTAATAATAATAATAATAATAATTACCCTCATAAATCACAAGAACATGGCTATATCGTAAATTATTTCGACGGAGTAGCATACTAACTACGATGTAACATGAATGGTCTTTTGCTGGACGACCAGTCCGCGCGTCGTGCGTAAAACACTGTGAATCTAGCGAACAAAGGAGCCATGCACAGATATAGTACACAGTACATGCAGCTCTTTGAAAGAGCGAATGTTGGTAACACGTGTCTATACATGTTTGCTTTCTCTTCCTACGATAGAGCACCAAAGGAACCTCCTCCCGTGTTTGATACGGAGCCCATCATCAGACAGAGGAGGAAAGGCAGAACCCTAATCATTGAGTGCGAGCTCCTGTCCCAGACAGAACCGAGACAGATCAACTGGTACCACGGAACGAGGTAGGAAGGGAGACGCGGCAGTGGACGCGTAACCGATCACAGAACATGGTCGGATTTAATACTACTACTACTACTACTACTACTACTACTACTACTACTACTACTACTACTACTACTACTACTACTACTACTAATAATAATAATGATAATAACGACGACGACGATTATGATGATGACGATGATGATGATGATGAGTATCGTAACATCGTAATCCGCATGGGAACCAAAGAAAAGACAGGCACCGACGTTTGTACAGAAGCCTAAAGTAACTCCTAATGACTGTGGCAAGCTAACCGTAACAAACCGCGACAATAAACCAACGACAATCACAACAGACATAGTCATAGTCAGACTTCACCGCACGTCTTCACTGTCTGCCATACGCATTGCAGGATGATACAGGTTGATAGCCGTCACAAAACAAACATTATCAAGCACCCGAAGGGAGAGGGTTACATCCTATCGCTGGAGCTGATAGATGTGGAGAAATCAGACAGCGGCATGTACAAGTGCGTCGTGAAGAACGAGTACGGACAGGCGGACACGAGCACCAACGTCAACGTCGAAGGTAGGCGGCCAATCTCACCTGTAATTACGATCACGAACACAAGCGCGCGCACGCACGCATACTCTCACAAACACGCATATACGCACGATTGCGCGCGCTCACACACACACACACGCACACACACACACACACACACACACTCACACACACACACACACAAACACACACACACACACGCACACACACACACATACGCACTCACGCACACACGCATACGCACATGCACGCACACGCACACGCACACGCACACGCACACGCACACGCACACGCACACGCATACACGCACGCGCGCACACACATACATGAACACAAACACGCACGCACATACACGCACACGCACACATCAACTGCATCTAGCCTGATAGTTATGATAACTATAGGGCAGTAATCATCGGAGCCCGGCAGGGATCTAGGTTATTTATTTTATCTGACTTGGTACGTATGTGTTTTCTCTTTCTCAGAGCCACAAGAACCAGATCCCGAGGAACCGGAAGAAGAAAAGTAAGCTCACACTTGGTATTAGAATTCGGATGTACCTGAATTCAAACACTAATATCAGTTTAACTGTAACGTGAGCTAAAATACGATATCCTTCAATTGACGCAAGTGGCAGTTATCGATTAGATATCTACCTATCTTACAACTCGCGAGAGATGTATCGTAAAATATTTTTTATTATATAGTAATATATGATTTACGAGTAGTACAGTCGTAAATATGGCAAATGACGATAAAATTACTTATACAATTACAATGTTGATAAATCACGCATATCAGTCTATAATCGCGGGGCCGTAAGACTTATATACATCCTAATGACGCATAGCTATACTTCGTACACGAGCCTGTCTCGACAACTGCTAAAACCGTACCGTCATTCTTTGTGTGATCTAGGACCGAGATCAAGATTGATGACAAAGTTAAGCCGTCATTCGCCACCAAGCTGCGCCCGCAGTCTGGCAAAGCCAGCGACTCCATCAACTTCATGGTATCGATCAAGGGCAATCCGGAGAAGGTCACGTGGTACAGGTACGAAATAAAGTCGCGGTAATGCGTGGCGGCAAGTGCTTTGTCACGTGCACGTCGCTGATCTACAACCTTTTTTCCTTGAATGACTGTTATATACTGGCTTGATCACACATAAAACATATTCGACATAAACGGTACAGGCTACGCACATATGAGCTCAGATGAGATGTTCCATTCTATCACGCTGTACTGCTCTCCTTGTCTCACACAGAAACGGCGTGGCAGTGAGGCCGTCCAAGAACTACAAGGTGTCGCAGAATGGCGAGGTATACCGTATGAGCATACAGGAAGCAAGCCCGTCCGACTCCGGCGAGTGGAAGTGCGAAGCCACCAATAAGAAGGGAACCGAGAGTACAACAGCTAAGCTTAACATAGAAGGTTGGTACGATATGATCGCATAGACGCTCGTGCATTAACTATCCTTGTCATCTACTGCTCCTGTGTCGCAATTGTGTCATGTTTCTACTGTTAAATTTCATTTATTAATAAGAAGCCCAAGATTAAATGAGTGAATAAATGAATAAACACACATACGCACGCACGCACTCACGCACACACGCATACGCACATGCACGCACACGCACACGCACACGCACACGCACACGCACACGCACACGCATACACGCACGCGCGCACACACATACATGAACACAAACACGCACGCACATACACGCACACGCACACATCAACTGCATCTAGCCTGATAGTTCTGATAACTATAGGGCAGTAATCATCGGAGCCCGGCAGGGATCTAGGTTATTTCCACCGCGCTCCTGTTTTCACGATATTTATTTTATCTGACTTGGTACGTATGTGTTTTCTATTTCTCAGAGCCACAAGAACCAGATCCCGAGGAACCGGAAGAAGAAAAGTAAGCTCACACTTGGTATTAGAATTCGGATGTACCTGAATTCAAACACTAATATCAGTTTAACTGTAACGTGAGCTAAAATACGATATCCTTCAATTGACGCAAGTGGCAGTTATCGATTAGATATCTACTTATCTTACAACTCGCGAGAGATGTATCGTAAAATATTTTTTATTATATAGTAATATATGATTTACGAGTAGTACAGTCGTAAATATGGCAAATGACGATAAAATTACTTATACAATTACAATGTTAATAAATCACGCATATCAGTCTATAATCGCGGGGCCGTAAGACTTATATACATCCTAATGACGCATAGCTATACTTCGTACACGAGCCTGTCTCGACAACTGCTAAAACCGTACCGTCATTCTTTGTGTGATCTAGGACCGAGATCAAGATTGATGACAAAGTTAAGCCGTCATTCGCCACCAAGCTGCGCCCGCAGTCTGGCAAAGCCGGCGACTCCATCAACTTCATGGTATCGATCAAGGGCAATCCGGAGAAGGTCACGTGGTACAGGTACGAAATGAAGTCGCGGTAATGCGTGGCGGCAAGTGCTTTGTCACGTGCACGTCGCTGATCTACAACCTTTTTTCCTTGAATGACTGTTATATACTGGCTTGATCACACATAAAACATATTCGACATAAACGGTACAGGCTACGCACATATGAGCTCAGATGAGATGTTCCATTCTATCACGCTGTACTGCTCTCCTTGTCTCACACAGAAACGGCGTGGCAGTGAGGCCGTCCAAGAACTACAAGGTGTCGCAGAATGGCGAGGTATACCGTATGAGCATACAGGAAGCAAGCCCGTCCGACTCCGGCGAGTGGAAGTGCGAAGCCACTAATAAGAAGGGAACCGAGAGTACAACAGCTAAGCTTAACATAGAAGGTTGGTACGATATGATCGCATAGACGCTCGTGCATTAACTATCCTTGTCATCTACTGCTCCTGTGTCGCAATTGTGTCATGTTTCTACTGTTAAATTTCATTTATTAATAAGAAGCCCAAGATTAAATGAGTGAATAAATGAATAAATTAATGAATGAATGAGCTAACTAACGAACACACGACAGAACGAACGAACGAACGACTGAATAAATGAATAAATGAATGAATGAATGAAGATAAGCAAGTAAATAACGCAAATAACTAAGCTGTTCTGTGTACCCGTGAAGAGAATTTTGGATTCAAGGTGTGACATATCAAGTTGTTGCTTACTCATGATAATTTAGCAAAGACGATAGTATAACGATACTAATTTTTATTTGTTCTTGTTTTAGAAGAGAAGAAGGACGAGGAACCAGAAATCATTGAGAAGGACGAAGAGGAGGTAAGTTATATATATAGAATCTGCTCTACCTGAAGTATAATGTCTACGCAATTACGAAACTATCGTATAATATAATTAATTTTAATTATAATTCATTTGTGCCTGTACGAATGTGAAATTCCCAATAATTTCATAAGCGAATACTCAAGAAACAATCGCATTGTAACGAAAATTGCATACTTGTTGCATATATACTCTGTGTAGCGGTTAGGTAATCTCGTCACGCGTTCCTCTTTCTAGAAACTTCTTTTTTATAAAAGTTTGTGCTTATAGTGTTAACTGACTTGGCATTACAGCTTATTTGTTTGCAACCAAAACCTATGATGTCTACGTCATAGAACCAACATGGCGACATGTGTGGGATATCAGGAAACATCTCAAACAAACGCCTGCACCCTAACGGTGGCATCTAATCATATTGCGCGAACGATAGGGGTAGTTGCAAACAAATAACCTATAATGGCAAATCTGTCAATCTACAGTTCTTTTATTTGCTATAAAAAAGCAACAACTTCTACCTTTTCTTTACCTTTCCTGTCAGCGTTGCGTGCATGAAACCTAGTGCCTATAGTAGATGGGAAATCTTTGAAAGAGGTTTATGACAAATGTTATGTTTACCTTTGCTCACTGTGTCTTTGTACGATACATGCCGCTGTACTGTTCAAATATCTACTAATATATATTTTACATGTCTTCTAATTTACGTGGAAATATCTAGTGATTATATATTGCGAATTTTGTACACAGCCAGATAATTTATTTATATTTAAGACTCTTACCTGTATAATACAGTATATGGAATGCATGCACATACGTATTGTATTATAAATTAGTCAACTATGCTCCATCTTCCAGGATTTCTAGTGAGATGAGCGCTTATATGTGTAAACCTGCAATGTAACTGTATGTTGAACGGATTATGTATATTTTATTTTGTAGAGTGTAGGTGACATTCTTTACTATACCCTATTCATAAAGTGCCCAATTCAATTGCTAGATTACACAACAGATACACGCGCCAGCTATCTATATGACCTGATGGTTTAAACTGGAAAATGCATTCACGATTTAATACCCTGATTTGTATGTTCTCGCTGCTGAAGCCACTGCTCTCGTTTAATCAAAAACAATATATAAGTATATCTGCATGTAAACTGCGGTTGAATTGGGCACGTAAATTAGAACACTGCACCGCGCAAAATTTTTCTTATAATGTTATCCAATAACGTAGCGACTGCTAATCATACCTAATTATGCATAACGTCACGTAAAATAATAGCGTGATTATTAAACGATTAAATAACTGACAATCAAATAATAACCAAAGCATCGTTATTGTTTTATTGGCTTTTATTTCTTCGTTTTAAGTCAAACATTTAGCGTAACGTGCTCCTGTAACACGGAGTTTGTTTGCCCGAGTAGAAAGCAAAGGTGCCAAAGAAGAAACCAGAAGAAAAGAAGAAACCAGAAGAAAAGAAGGAAGAGAAGCCAAAGGATGAGCCACAGGAGAAGCAAGAGGAGAAGACAGAACCGGCCAAAAAGAAGGTAGAGCAAAAGAAAGAGGAACCAAAACCGGCCGAAAAGCCTAAGGAGGAAGCTAAGAAAGTTGAGCCAAAACCCGCCGAAAAGCCCAAGGAGGAGCAACCGAAGGAAGAACCAAAGAAGGTAAACGAAAGACCCGATGTAAAAACGGCAGCAGAGCCACCAGCGCAAAAACAAACGACGGAGGTAAAAACAGTAGAGGAAGTACCGACGAAAGTTGGTTCGAAACCCGCTGCTGTACCACAGCAGAAACCAGACGATCAGGTTCGTTGCGGTCACTGACTCTCTCGTGTAGCAAGTCGTTCGTAGAGGAATAACCACCAGTTGACTGTGGAAGTGTCCGTCACTGTCTGTCTGTAGGTAACACTAAAGCACACGTGGAGTCCACATAGAATGAATAGAACCGTGTTCGAATCGACTGCATTCGAAGTTCGAACACAGTTAGGCTGAGAGGGTACACGTCTATGTCCCCCATGGTACTGCCGGAACGTACCCTGGGTACGGTCCGGTATACCGGAACGTACCCTGGTACTATCTAATATGCCGGACCGTACCTCGCCTACTCCACTAAGGAGTCTAGGGAATCGCCTACGCCTACTCCCTAACCCTAACCCTAACCCTAACCCTAACCCCTAACCCTAACCCTAACCCTAACTATATAATATAGTTACCAGGGTACGTTCCGGTATACCGGACCGTGCCCAGGGTACGTTCCGGCAGTACCCTGGGAGACATAGACCCTATGAGCCACAGGCAGCTGATAGGTCGAACTAATTTTAATAGGACGTATATTTATTGAGCAAACGACATTCGCCTGTTCTGTTAACGATAGGTTGACAAATGTCGGCTGCTCATGCTTTATAATTTCACTAATGTAAATTAAGAAGGTCAGGTTTTAAAATTACAACATTATCCTGATAACCGCAAAACGGTTAAATCTGCAGTTTTAAAACCTACCGTATCATTATATTGTAAAATTTTTCGAGTTAGCAAATCTCTGTCATGCATGCCCTATATATCACGACGCGTTAGTATTTTACATTGTAAACAAAAAAACACTACTTGTTTAGATGTTGATACCTAATAATTTATGTATGTAAATATAAAAAGTAATATTCTCATGCCCTGGTTAATTTGTTAAAATGAAATGTGCAATAACAAAAATAGGCAAGACTAGGTATATGTTTCTAGCTTTATTTATTTTTGGAAATACATGTCTACGTGTAGGCGTGTGTATGCTACGTAAAATGTAGTTAGACATTATATAGCTGAAACTACATGCACCCTTAGTATAAATGCACCCTTAGTAATTGCACGCGTGTTTATGTATTCCATTTGCATTTCACCAAGAGAATAGATTATGAACCTGCTAAGTGTCTGGTGTTCTTTATAACGGTGATTATGATTGTCATATATGCTGATTTTAAATCTGCATGATTATGCTTAAAATGAAACACACTAGATCTGTCAGGTGTTGTGACTTATTAGAAAACGAATCTATGGAAAATAGATAAAACTATCAAAATGTTAGTTTTTTAACGTAATTAACCTAGAAAGTGATGGGGCACCAGGTTTGCCACTTAATGTGATAATAAACAAATGGTGATCACTCTAAAGGGCAATCACGGAATATAGATTCTTATGCCGATAAGATTCAACGCGTGTATGTATACAGTTACAGACGTAGGTCATGGTTATAACACTGAAGGTATATAGGGAACCTTAGCATGTGATTTTCTCATAACTTCTCCGATGCTAACAGTAAATATTGAATACTCATAGGGAGCAGCGGAGCACGATGAAGAGGAAGAAGAAGTGAGCCCGGGAGCCGATAAGACAAAGAAGAAGGTAATTTCACATGAAGTAATTTTCACGCATCCAAGATTTTTACGACTTCTGCTCGATAGTAACATGGATGCTATATTTTAAAAATATTCACAAATTAAAAGGAATTACCAACACACTGCTACACAGATAGACTGTGATTTAATTGGAGAGTATTACAATCATGAATTTATCATTTAAAATAATTGGAACTAATTAGTTTGGAATTATTGCTGACATTTAAAATCGAATACGGCGTAAAATATTCAATGTATCGCACTAAAAAGGTAATTAAAAAGAAAAAGAAGGTGCCAAAGAAGGGAGAACACGAGGAAGAGCCGGAGCCAGAGAAGAAGCCAGCGGCCGGCGAAGCGGAAGGTCTTCCTAAACGTAAGTTTATTTTTCCTGAACTGTGAACTCATTTATATCCATATTATTATATATTATTATTATTATTATATTATATTGTTATTATTATTATTATATTATTTTATTATATTATAATATTATTATTATAATATTATTTATATTTTTATGTGTTACTCATGAATATCCATGTCTACGCACGCGCGTGCTCGCTCGATAGTCGCTCGTTTGTTACTTGTCGGAATATTGGAATTATAGTGGAATGCGTGAATTCAAACCCAACTAATTCTTTCGTGTAATAGTTCATGGTTTTCTTTACTTGTCTCTCCGTTCATTCACACCTCCATTTTCCTATATTATACCAATATACACTATTTTTCCCGCCGTGACCTCCCCGCCACCTATCCATTACACATGTCCAAATCGAGTCATAAATTCGCGTAAGCATTCGCGACACTCCCCACAACAAAGTTATAGCATTAGACGTGTGTGTGTACACCGCCACAGACAATTTCTCACACCAACAGTCAGTCAATAAGCAGTCCCTTATCAATTTTTCTCGTAATTAATAGTTTCGGACTCACTAAGAAGCCCTTTCTTGAAGGTGACATCATGAAAGGAAGACACGGCAAGGATTCTTCTGCTGCTGCTTCTTCCTCCACTACATCCTCCTTATCCTCGTCTTCCTCTTCTTCTTCTTCTTCTTCTCCTTCTTTCTCTTCCTTTTCTTCTTTTTCTTCTTCTTCTTCTTCTTCTTCTTCTTCTTCTTCTTCTTCTTCTTCTTCTTCTTCTTCTTCTTCTTCTTCTTCTTCCTCTTCTTCTTCTTCTTCACGTCGGTGGCGAGTTCTGCGTTGCCAGCTGCTGTAGAAATTGCCTCCGCGCCTTTTCCAGCTCCCCTTGCTGAGTCTGCTCTCCGACGACTCCCACGCCCCCCGCAGTTTAAAACTGACGCTAATGGGCCTACTGTGTATGTCAGCATTGACATAGATGGAAGTGCATCGATTCCACTCGGAAGTCGTCTTGTTAAAATCCAGCCCAAACGAGAATGGACAAGAAATAAGCCCGGGTCAATCTGTTTCCTGTCCATATTGTCTGTGAATAGTTCAAGGTAATAATCACTTCCCACAAGACAATCTATGACCAAATTTCCACGAACAGTAGGAAGCGAGTGAACTAAATAAAATTTGTCACGGACTTTCTCTTGCACATAATCCGGAACGGGTGCTCTCTGTATAATTCCTCTTATTTCTGGGACCACATGAACTTTCATGTTAAACGTACTGCCATTTTCCAGTTTGATTTTTATCTCAGCTTGTTTTGTAGCAACCGTGTTAGGTCTAGCCGAACTGAATGTAAACACATTTAGTGTCCCGGATTCGAGCGTCTTCAAATGCAACTTATCAGCAAGACGACTACCACTATCGAACAGAATTTTCCCTGTTGCTTTGGTGTCTGTTGACCTATTTCTGAAAGCAGTTTGTGCAGTCTGCATCAATACTTGTTCACCTGCTGCCATTAAACCGTTCTCGCTTGGTGATACCATAGGTCCTGTCTCTTCTATAGCTGCCTGTGCACTTTTGTGATGTTGCCCCATTTGTTGACAATAAACACACATTTTCTTATTGCGACAATCTCTGCTAACATAATTCAATCTGAGACACGAGTAGCATCGTCCTTTGATTTGCTCCTTTCTCATATTGATGGTAAGATACTGTTGACACTGATCACTCCAATGTTTCTTTTCACAAAATACACAAGTCTATGATCTATTTTTGTTCGTGTTCATCGGTGAAGCTAGAAGTACTTCAGTTGTACATTTAACACTATGACTGTCACTGCCTTCATCATATTCACATGGTCCTTGTCGCGCGAATTTGTGAGTGCTTGCGTACGTGCGTGTATGCGTGCGTGCGTGCGTGCGTGCGTGCGTGCGTACGTGCGTGCGTGCGTCTCTTTGCGAGTGCTAGCGTGTTCTTGTGGGGGTGGGGCGAGCGCGCGTGTGCGCAAACATCGAAATTTGTTATAAGTTATACTTTTGTTTTTAACAGTTAAGAAAAGAACACCAGCACCGAAAAAGGAACCCGAACACCACGAGTTGTTTACTGATTTTACAAAGGTAGGGTATAATATAGGATATATATAAATGTATTACTAGTCAGCTAGTTATATACCTAATCGTATCATATCAAGCGTAAGATTAAATGCGAATAGCATAATAATATAATTTGTGTAATCACCGATGTGTAGCAGTTAAAATTAGCTTTTTTTATTATTCGTCACATCTAATTTATTTAAAAAGAGACAATTATAAATATTGGGATGTGTTGTTCTATATTGCAACATTTAATTTACTTCCTTGTTTTATATTTCCAGTATTATTGTTTATGTTCTCGAGTTTATCTGTGTGTGTATACATATATAAATAGTTTCATCTAAGTCGTTAGCATCTCTAATAGCAAATTCATTCACTCCTCAGTCATTCCATTTTCCATGCGACATAACACGTGTCAATACTCTGCGCAGATTTATATGTACGCTGATGATTTCTATCTGTGGCTGATATAGCATCTACAAATATGGTATGATGGAACCATATGCCATTTATGTACGATTTACAGTTACGCACGTTATATGCTGCCTTGGTGTTGATGACTGTTTCTGTGTTTTCCACGTGATTGAACCCATTGTATAACGAAATCTCGTCAAAGCAAACGTGATAACATTGAAGGTAAAATTGAAGAAAGCAAAAACAAAAAAGCGGGAAGTTGAAACCATGCACTTAGAAGAGGTGAAACTGATTGGTCATGACAAGAGGCCCAGCATTGCCGAAGGAGCGGTAGGAACAACGGGAGATTCAAGCTCAACTGAGTTTCATATGCCTAGTCGAGGCCCGAAGGATGACAGAGAGAGGGTATTGATGGATGCCCCCAGTGCTTGCCGATACCTATCTGTTCGCTGTAGTTGCACAGCCTTCGCGGTAGAGGTCGCTTTGATATTCATATTCTGCTTTCTTCATGCGCTCGCACCACTGATCTCTATTATACTAACTTAGTATAGTAGAGATTAGTGGCTCGCACACGTTGCTTCGCTAACATCTCATACCATTGCTATAGCGTTGCTCTTTATTCTTCGTACTGCAGCGTTACTTTCATTTCTGCAAGACATTCGCACATGATTCATTTCTACTTATACATTCTTTTCATATTATAGCTATTACCTGACGTTTCATTCATTTTGAATATATATATATATATATATATATATGCGTGAATCCAACCAACTAATCTTCGTGTAATAGCTTACAGTTCGACTACCCTCCTCATTCACAACTGGTACTAGGATATGATAGTAACAGGATCCGCTGTATAATGGGTATACGCGTATAGTAATAGTAACGTACAATACATGGCATAGGTATCAGGTATAGGATAGCGTACAAGTACAAGAGTAAAGGTATATGGCAAATCCCAAATTCTCATAAACCAATATAACACTATTTCCCGCCGTACCTCCCGCGCCCACTATTACCATTACACAAATCACAGAATAATTCATAAATCCGCGTAAGCCATCGCGACACACACACGGATACCCGAACAACAAAGTAAGCATAGAACGTGGGGATAACACCGCGCGTACAGTACACAATCCACACCAACAGCAGTCAATAAGCTATACCTATCATTCCCGGATAATAGGACTCCACAAGAACCCATCTGAAGGGACATCAAGAAAGGAAGACAGCGAGACAAGATCTTCCGCGGGGCTGCCGTCTTCCTCACTACACCTCCATAATCCTTCGTCCTCCCCGCTCTAATAGCGTCGTTTTTGCATACTCTCGACACCTTACTTCTTACGTTTTCCTCTTTTCCATTACACTCTCTGCAAGCTCTTGCTTTCTCTCTTTCCCTTCTTCTTCTCTTTCAGACTATTACGAGATGGCGATTTCTCGCGTTATAAGCCCAGCTGCCGTTGATAGGAAACCGGAACCAATACCGCAGCCGTAATATCCAGCGATACGCCATTGTACTAAGATCCGCTCCCGACCGACTCCAACGACCACAGCCACGCAGTTAAAACTAGTAGACAACGGTATACTAAGGCCATACTATGGTAGTAATGTCAACATGGGGACAAGATGGAGAATATGGCAGATCGAGAGACTACACTCGAATCGTCGCCGTAGTAAGATCCAGCCCAAACGAAATGAACAAGCAAAATAAGGCGTAATCACGTATTAAGGTACAACATCTTTCCGTTCCATCCATTGTCCTGGAAAGGTCACAAGTAGTAAATAATCAACTTCCGCACACTGTAACAGACAATCATACCGAAATTTCCACGAACAAGTAGGAAACAGTGGAACCACAAATAAAATTGTCAGCGCGGCACGGAAACTTCTCTGCAACAAAGACGCTAAACGTCAACCGAATGCCTCGTATAGACACTCCCATTGCGGGAGAACGGAAGGGGGGTGCAGAACACCGCGAGGGCATTATCCCCCCGTACGACCGCCATTATATCAGCAAGACGAACTTACAAAATAATAACTCGTAAGCCTTCGATTATCAGACCGGCATCAATTCCAATTAGAGCTCACCGCGCAAGAGCCGAGAAAAATCACTAGTTTGTGACAACGATGTCAGCAGCCGAACGAATTAAAACCACATTTAGTGTCCCGGATCGAAGCCTTTTTCAATCAACTTATCAGTAGCCAAAGAGCCACCGCAACAATCTCCAACACGCAACACGAATTAACCGCGTCCAATTTGCCAGTTTTGGCGTGCTCCGTTTCGGAGAACACGTATTTTTCGAACCACCAGCTTTCGAATGCAGCTCCGCACATCAACACATGCAACTTCCAGGAATTCACAAAGGGCCATTCAGGATCTGCTGGGCCCACATATTAAACCCGCGGCTCTCGCTCGCTTACAACACCCCCTACACTACGGTCCTGCCGCTCTTTCTAACACCGCTCCCCTAACACATCGCGATGTGCCCCTCTGCGCAAACGCGCATAAGATATCGACACCAATGTGAACCCACAACATCATCTCATTAGTGCCAAACCTGGCAACATAAACAATCTGGAGAGCACAATCGATAATGCAACCGGGCCTGCTGAAATTGCGCCATAACACACACAGATTGATGAAAATACGCACCACGATTCGACAAACCAAGCACCGACGAAAAAAACGTGTCGGCAGCGCACCGGGAATCACACGGCCGCGCTGTACAAGCAAACACTCACAACCACCGATAATCTATCTAACACAAAAATATCACAAAACAGTGCCCTACATTCTGTTCCGTTCACATAATTGCCAGAGCTGAAACAAAAGGGACTCACGCATCTTCAATGTGACATCGTGCCTATACACTTAATGCTAGACTTGGCGTCACCCTTTAATTGGCAGGCCTGTTTCATCATAACACATGCTCCTGTCGCGCGAATGTGAGTGCTTGCGACACCAGACGAGCGATAAATTCGTGCGTAGCGACATTAAGAGAAACGACAGCCGCCTGCTTAAATTCTCTACATAACAGATGCGCGCTAGCGCTGTCGCGTCGTGAGTCTGCGAGCTGCCTGAGCTGGGCGTGCAGCATGTCGGCGACGGCGCGTGTCAGTCTGCGCGAGCGCGAAAGCCACCGAGCGCGTGCAATCGATTCTGTTACGTGTACAAGTCGACGTCTGACAGCTCAATACTCGCATCAGTCCTGGGTCTCTGAATACATAATCGGTACGAATACAAAAATATCTGGACAGTCCAGCTTTGGTGCACGCCACAGGGTACTATGCAATAGACATCTACCACCACACTCGACAAATGTGTGCGATTCACGTCACAGCAGCTCGAAAAAGACCCCGAATAACACAACCATGAGAATACTGCACAGCTATGATACTTAGATTCACACTGTAACCTAAAAGGGCAGGGTGCACTTGATCGAACGGCAGAGATAGAAGGATTAAGGAGCTAAAGCAACACAAAAAAAGTCACACACCACTAGTCAGAACACGCCCACCACCCTATTATATACCTAAATCGATCATACAGCGTCAAGATAAAATGCGAAAGCATAATACAATAATCTGTTAACACGCTGATGGTACAAAAATACTGTTTTACTATTCGCACATTCTAATTATTAAAAAGAGACAATAAAATATCGCGAATGTGTTCTCATATGCACAGTAATATACTTCCATTGTTTATATTCCAGATATTATGTTCCACGAGTTACTTGGCTGTGATGAAATATAGATAGTTCACATTCTAAAGTCGGAGCAAATCTCAATAAGCAAAGTCATCACTCCTCAGTCATTCTCATTCCATCGACATACACACACCATTGTAAAACTCGCACGTACACGCCACAGCGATACAGACTCGAAGAAAAGTATACATCGAGCGAGCAGGACTGATATAGCGCATGGAACCGGTACTATATACAAACGCTAAGTAGGAAAACACACAATAATCCGACCATTTACTACAACTTAGCACACAGAGCGTACGCCCCGACGCCTCAGTATACAAAGCTGCAAAGCAAAACCGTGTATAATCGTACACACACATGAATCTGCAAGTGTCGCGTGCTTTAAGGTCATATAGATAGAGCCGGTTGTTGTTTGATCCACTTGCGCTAATGTAACACAAGTGTGGACATAGGCGAGCAAATGACTAAATATATAGATAAATTAAAGTTCATTCGTCTAAATAGCCAGTACGGCGTCATAACATTGAAGAAAGCATATATCGAAAAAGAAACAAAACAACATCACAACAAAAAGCACGCGAAGCTTGAAACCATGCAACACATTAGCAAAGAGGCAGAAAGAGCATAGAATGTTGAAATCAGAGAAAAAAAAAAAAAAAGAACACGAAATAGAAAAGAAAGCGCGAGCCGCCCAGACATTTGCGCGGAAGAGCGGTAGTAAGCAAATCGTCAGGAAAGTCGAGTATCCGAAGCCTGGAATGCAATCAATTGCCTAGACGCACGAGTCCGGAAGGATTGACAAGAGAGAAGGTATGAGATGATCCCCCAGCTTGCCGATACAGTACTTTCGCGCTCTGCTTCCAATAGTCTGGCATCCAGACCTTACGACGCGCGAGTTCCAACGAAGAGCGGTGCGACCGCATATCTCAGTATTCGCTTTCTTCAGCCTCCGCACAACTGAGCTCTATTATACAACTAATAGTAGAGATAGGGCCGCACGACCTGCCTGTCGCTAAAAACACATAACATAGCCTAATACGAGCCGTGTGCGCGTCTTCACTAATCTCACGACGACCACCGTAAACTTGCGCTACTGCCATCAATTCAGAACATAGACATCCGCGACACACCCACATATCTACAAAAAACTCATTCTTTCAATATAGCCTATTACTGACGATTCATTAATTTTCGAATAAAACAATATATAATAATAGACTATGGGATATATACTTTTATTAACGAAATAATAAAACGTCCTTAAAGAGGAGAAATCACAAATGACAATTATATATAGGGTACTATAAGACGTAGCGATAAAAATACAATAAAGAACAATAACACTAAACATTTCGAGAACATTATCTGATTTGATATACTTGACATTAATCAATTTAATATAGTGTACGACACGTTTCATAAACGCGACCCCGCCGTAATAATAATGCCGCATAGCGCATTTAAATGTGACGCATTAGTCTAGGCTTTATACGAAAATAATCCCCAGTCTAACACGCCAATGAATGGCGCAGTACGTTCCGCTGTCGCGAGAGCTCGCTAATCTTTTAAATTATGAACACGTTCGTGCGAAACGCGCTGGAACGAGAATTGCTGGATCGCCGTGGTCAACACGACGCTGTGCCACCAGCACGCACTCGTCGATGCCGAAGATCTCTATTGAACTAGCTTCCACGTACATTAACTATAAGCATGCAATATAGCCCTTATATATACTATACTAAGGCATCTGGCAGCCACGCGTTATGTTCCAACACATTGGAACGTTCGCCAGGCCTGATACCGGGTTACGCTTAAAATCAAAGAGTGCTCGCACCGCTGCTCGGCGAGAAAAGAATTTTAAAGTAATTCACGTGGAAGAGGCGAAAGATGTAGTTGCACATATAGTTCGCAGAGTTCTAAAAAATAAATAAAACCGCAGCCAACGTCTACAATAGAGACGTCAACGAACTGAAGTGGTCAACCACCCAACCAGCAACGTCAACGCACAGCCACTAATGGACCGCAACACAGCCAACCACCGTTTCCACAACAGGAACCACCGGCCAACCACCGCAACACACCAGTCACCCAACCGGTCAACCAGTATTATTTATATAACTAATAGTTATCACTATACAACAAACACGTCAACGTAATAATAATAGAACTATTATTTGTTTCCATACGGCGGGAGCCAGTTGCAGACCCCTTGAGTCAAATACTAATATAACCTGTCAAACATTAACCGTATCAACCATAACCCCTAAGCTATATAAATATAAACACTCATAATACGCACCGGTCATACGTAACGGTCTCTCGTACGTAATTCAGTAGGTAAGCATTAGCGCATCACAAAATTATATCAGCAGCCACACAGGAATGACCACGCAACACTCTCTGATCATAAACCTGCATTGTGTGTCATCTCCATATACAACCCACACATTGAAAGCGCAACCATGAACTCAGCACACCCAAGTGAACGCACCGTCAACACATTATCTACTCTAACGCATGTCGCTATGAGCATATTTCCACAGTATGAATCATCCGCCGACTCAAACACATAGTGACAAAATCACATACCAATCAGGATACTAACTGTCACTTGCTCAATGTCTAATGCAACGTGGGATACTCAGGGTCAAAAGCAGCAGCAACGAACACCCTGCAACGCAGCGCAACACGAACCGGCAACACCGACTGCTGCAAGTGGTCAGTATTCAGCTATATCAACGCAACACAATCTTATTCCATCACGATCTGCAAGTTGCAGAAGGCAAGGCACAGAGACCAGCGAATCGATAACACACAGATCAAGGAAGAGCAGCAAGAACCGAGGACCAGGACGATGCACATCGCACACAAAACCAGAGCGCTAAAAGCACCGATGCAAAGGCAAGAAAGCACTGGCAGAAAAAGGAGAAGAGAGAAGCAAGCTCCAGGGACTTTAAACGTAATGAACAATGCGATGCTGAATTAAAAATGACAATATTAACATGTACACAGTAAATGCCAAAATCCTACATTGGCGAACAAAATGCTACAATTCTCCGTCATCTTTGAAGAAAGAGAAATGATAACTATTTACGTATTTTCGGAAGCACTGAACCCTTAGCGTAAGTGGAACAGCATCACAACCGCATAGCGAAACGTTATCTTGTCAATACACACACGAACAGCAACGCGCAGATGCGAGATAGGTGTTGTGTTATACCATAGGCAACATATCCGAGTAGGTCCGCGACGAAGGGATCCAAGGAAAAAGTAATCACGGTACCCCACACGCAGAACTCGCGTAATATTCTCTAAGCGATAGATCCACGTTGATTGCTGGAGAAAAAGAAGAGAGGACACGTAAGGGAGACACGCCTACGAAAGAATAAGCCTACTACTCAAGCGAAGGAACCATGCCCAGTTCGTGTGTAGACGTGTGTATGCCTGCCATGACACCGCAACCGGCTGATTTGAATAGCAATAATAGGATAGATCAGTAAACATGTAAACGCCATTATAAGGTTAAGGTCCTATGTCAATACCGTTTGAAATGCGTTGAAATTTAGAGTCATAAATCTTGTCATCGCACTCCCCCGTTTATTAACAACACTTGTGTTAGTCCGGAACTAACTCTATTAGAACAACCGCTAAGGATTTTAAACAAACATTAAACTCCGTCGTGGGCGTTATATAAATAACTAATCGCGAAACCGCGCGTACATGTACTTTTATGAAAGCACTTCACATTCATGAGTCTACATAAGACACAACAATACTACGAACACACACCCACAAGCCACACACACCAACACCCACACCGGGCACAAACACACACTTACACAACACACACACTATCACACAAACCGCGCGCACACACACACACACGCACACACACACACCACAACACCCACACATACACACACACACACACACATGACGATTGCACACACACATCACGACCACACGACCCACACAAAGACAGCACACAAAAGCAACACACAATACAAATAATATATCGTGTGTATG